ACGTAGATGTGTTCAGGGCGGGACTTTTATCAGACAGCTGCAGTTTGGTGGAGATTGAACAAAGCAGACTGAAGTTACGACAACTTCCTGTTTCATGGCAAAACGTCGACATTCGACGCTGAGCCACGGACACGCCGTTCAACGTACGGCAACAAATGATGAAAGTTTGAATCGTGATGGTCTTTAGATTGGGCTGATCAAATCTGAAGTCGTTACAGTTACTGTTACTGTTATAGTTACAGTTACAGTTACTGCAGCTCACAAAGACTTTAAGTGTATTATTCATATTTGTTTCACTGTATTAGCAGTATTTATATTATATACTTTACTTCCTGCTTTGGCAACATGTTTGTTTAAAACATCACAACAATAAAGTCAATTAAACTGACAAACACACACTCACACACACACACACACAGTAAATAAATTATGAATCAATGCTAAGCTGCTAATGAATGATGGAAGCAGATGTTTCCAATTCAATATTTTAATCAATGTTTCATCCTCACAATCTCCTGTCTGCACACACACACACAGATAAACACTGAGGCACACACACACGTGCACACACACACACACTCATACCAAGGCTACTCTGGGGTCGGGAGAGGCCCGGTGCTCGGGATAAAAGTCACAACTTGCCTTGAGAGTACGAACAGTATTTGATCATTTTCATGCTTTGATACATTAAATAAGCTATTTAGCTATATATATATACAATCTCAGCGCCATCAGCTGAGACTAAAAATGAGTCATCGTATCAAAGTATCAAGTATCAAAACATAAGCAATGCCAGATGTGAGACAACGGCTTCAAAGTGATTATTTTAGTGCTTTATGAGAGACACATGAGAGACTTTACCGATTATTTTATCACCAGAGTCATTTAAGGACAACCCAAAATATATATAGGCTTACATGTGTGTACACAATGTATTTACTGGCAGATGCAGTGTAACAACACAGATGTTTTTTTTACTAAATAAACTGTGGCACGTGTTTTTCTACTACTGAGTCTGTAAGTGTGTGTGTGTGTGTGTGGAGGGACACACACTCTCCTGCTGCACGCACACACACGCTGACACAAAGTGTGATCTCTGAGGCGTTGGCAACACACCACATGCCAATAAAGCATGTTGAAGTTAATTGAAAGAGATTTTTTCTTTTTGTACTTATGTGTTGTAGCATTATAAAGGGTAGGACTATTTAAAGAAGCTGTGTTTGGTTTTATTGCAGGCTTTCACCCAGACAGTTAATATCTGACTGACAAAACTGACTGATCTCTGGAAAAGTGCATTTAGTTTTGCAATAAAAAGTAAGTGAAAGAGGAGAACTGATAGAAAGAGATGCTGACTACAAGGGACAAAGAAACACTGTATTGTGTGGCCGTTCTGGAGACGCTCTACTAGTATTTCCTCAACAACAAAAATCGCGAGAAATAACACTAAATGTTCATGCCAAGTAAGCGGCCTGAAAGGGGGCTCCTCCGGTTGGCTTCCCTGTGTTTCCTGTGTGGTCCGCTCAAAGGGTTAAAGCCCAAAGTGAACTGAATTGTAAGAAGTTGGTTTCCAAGGGAAACTGTTCGCACCGTTCCAGCTGAGGCGGGACAAACCAACTGCCTGACACGGAGGGGGTAGGGGTGATTCAGTACAATCACGAATTAATGCCGCACCGTAGCGCTTTTTTAAACACGAGCATACATCTATGCGCGTGTTGTTTTGCGTCTAAAAGGATAATAGTAAAATAGCTCGCCATTGAGTGTGTTTTTTTTTAAATATAAGATGTATATTATCGCTCGCCGCCACCCCTCCTGTACAGCTACAGTGCCGGGGTCCCTGCCAAGTCGGTTTGAAAAGAGCAGACAAAGGCTTTGAGCTCAGGACGCCCCTCTCTCTCTCTCTCACTCTGCCTACAAAGCCAACCTAGCTCTATCTCCTCCGCTCTTATATCATGGAAATGTTTTTTAATAGGTGGCGTTAAAGAGAGCGCTGGCTTTATTTTCACTTTCTCGTCCTGAAATGTACGACCGTCTGGATCCCCGCTCGGCCGAGAGAGGACGGCTTTTTGTAGGTATAATACAAGGAAGCGTCGTCTGAGAGAGGGAGAGAGAGGGGGAAGGATTGACGCTTTTTCCTCCTCTCCTCCTCCTTCTTCCTTTTCGCCCCCCTCTCCTCCTCTTTTTGGCGGAGAGAGGGGTTGAGGCAGGAATAAACGCTTTTTTTTTTGTTTGTTTCTTCTTCTTCTTCTTCTTTTTTAAATGCATTTGAATCCTACTGCGCAACCAGACCGGATCACGTGGGGTTTGGAGAGAGTTGGATCGATTTCGCACAGTTCAATGTGAGAAAAAGAGAGAGAAACAAACAACTCCTTTTTTTTTTTTTACTTCTGTGGATAACTGGGACTGTTTCTGATTAACTTTTGCATAATTGCAAGAGAAAGAGGGGGGGTGGGTGTGTTTGAGTTGGTTCTTTCTTTTTTCAGCCTTGGAGGTGTGGAGTATTAATTCTTATATGCCTGGGGTTTGAAAAACAATGGAGACGCACATTTCGTGCCTCTTCCCGGAAATTTTGGCCATGATTTTCAGCTATCTGGACGTGAGGGACAAAGGCAGGGTAGCCCAAGTGTGTATCGCTTGGAGGGACGCATCCTACCACAAGTCAGTGTGGAGGGGGGTGGAGGCCAAGCTGCACCTCCGCCGGGCCAATCCCTCCCTGTTCCCCAGCCTCCAGGCCAGGGGCATCCGGAGGGTCCAGATCCTGTCCCTGCGCCGCAGCTTGAGCTACGTGATCCAGGGAATGCCTAACATCGAGTCCCTCAATCTGTCTGGCTGCTACAACCTGACGGATAACGGGCTGGGTCATGCATTTGTGCAGGAGATCCCATCGCTGAGGGTTTTGAACCTGAGTCTGTGCAAGCAGATCACAGACTCCAGTCTTGGCAGGATAGCTCAGTATCTGAAGAACCTGGAGGTGCTGGAGCTTGGTGGCTGCAGCAACATCACCAACACTGGGCTCCTGTTGATAGCCTGGGGCCTCCACAGGCTCAAGAGCCTCAATCTGAGGTCCTGCCGGCATGTCTCGGACGTGGGGATTGGACATTTGGCGGGGATGACCCGCAGCGCGGCGGAGGGCTGCTTGAACCTGGAGTACCTGACTCTCCAGGACTGTCAGAAACTGACGGACCTGTCACTCAAACACATTTCCAAGGGGCTGACCAAGCTCCGGGTACTGAACCTGAGCTTCTGCGGGGGCATCTCAGACGCAGGGATGATCCACCTCTCCCACATGGCCTCCCTGTGGAGCCTCAACCTGCGCTCCTGTGACAACATCAGCGACACGGGGACCATGCACCTCGCCATGGGCACCCTGAGGCTCTCCGGGCTTGACGTTTCCTTCTGCGATAAGATAGGGGACCAGACCCTGGCGTACATTGCCCAGGGGCTGTACCAGCTCAAGTCTCTGTCCCTGTGCTCGTGTCACATCTCGGACGACGGGATAAACCGGATGGTGAGGCAGATGCACGAGCTGAGGACCCTGAACATTGGACAGTGTGTGCGCATCACGGACAAAGGGCTGGAGCTCATAGCCGACCACCTGACCCAGCTGGCGGGCATCGACCTGTATGGATGTACCAAGATCACCAAGAGGGGACTGGAGAGGATCACACAGCTCCCCTGCCTTAAAGTGTTGAACCTGGGACTCTGGCAGATGACAGAGAGTGAGAAAGTGAGGTGATTGGAAATGTTTTTTTGTTTTTTGTTCTTTTTTTTTTTTGTTTTTGGATGGGGACAGAGAGGGGGGGCATGAGGATCAGGAGGAGGGGGAATAGATGGGAGGGTGAATTTCTTTTCTTATTTAAAAAAAAGAGAGAGAAAACGTCCCCTTTTCCCTCCTGTGTGCTTGTGCAAGGTGTGCTTCTCCCATGTGATCACGGTTTTATGTTCAAATGTTTCTTTTTTTTGTTTTTCTTTCTGTCGGCCTTGCAGGATTTCAATTAGTGTTTTTGATTACGGCTTAATATTCGGCCTGGTAGGAAGCAATTAAAACTTTACTTTTGTTGTGAGCCTCACGAAAATCCCTGTTAACCATTGTTTTGATCTCATATTGAGTTTTAATTAATGTCTCATAAATTCTGACATTGGACTGGAACAACTTCAATGCAAATCAGCAAAAAGTGTCATTAGAGAAATCTGCTTTTACCGACACTCGCTTCCAGAATATTCTTTAAAGTGAAACTCGCATCCATCCAAACTTGCACCCACTAAAAAGCAAGGTGAGGTTTTAAAACTTTTATTTTTCCTTTTAAACATTTTCTTTTCTTTTATGTTTTTTTACAGTGAGTCTGGATTCACAACTAATCTCCGCTACAGCCATCACGCCTAAAAACATTTGGCTACCTCGTATGTGGTTGTTTTCAAAAGGGTGTATACTGTTAAAAAGAAAAAAGGAAAAAAAAAAAACCAGAAGGAAAGCGAGAATGAGAGACTGGGAGAAAATGTGCCTAAAGGGACTGTGTCTGCCCCCTCCCCCCATCCCCTCCCTCCCTCCCTCCATGAGCAGAGCTGGAGAAAGGAGAACAGGACACAATCTTAACTACCTTTGTTAATTTACCCTCATAAACAGCAACAATTTCCCGCTGAGAGACAGAGAGAAGAAGGGAGAGCCGAGCTGTAAAGTACATTCAGATTTCAAGAGAGCGACGCTTTTATGCAAAAAAAAAAACACAAAACAAAACATAAACCCGCTTGTGTGCAAGAGCTTTTTTAAAATTGTTTGTTTTTTTTCCTTTTTTTAAGGGATAAAGTCCGACTTTAACGCCCTTTAGAGACAGGTTGTGGTGAAGCTTTGACGAATATAAAGGAGACACGATTATCAGCTTACCCTTAGAATAAATACCTATAGTCATCCTATCATAATCCTATAGTGATATAGGATTATTACAGGGCTACAGAGCGAGATAACACAGATATAAAGGTATGATCCGGTCATTATTAAACACAATATACGTCCATGAGAGTGTGTTATAGGAATATTGGGTGTTTTTTGTAAGGGATGCTGGCACAAAACAAATGTCAGAGGATGTTTTTCAGAGCGTCGTACTTCAAATTGAAGTGATTTCTATATCTTATACCCTTTATTGATCGAAACGAATCAGGTTTTTTGTCTCATGGCTTTATTTTCCCACGTTAATGCCAACACAGGTCGCATTCATATTCATGTTGCTCTCACCGGTAAGAGCAAAGGAGAGAAGAGGAGGGTAGGGATATCTTTTTTTTTTTTTTTCTCCATCTCACCCTGAATAAAAATACCCTGAATCCATTTTGAGACATGCTTAGAATAAGGAGCAATCGATTATTTCTCTCTCTCTCTCTCTTCCTCTCTCTTTCTCTCCATCTCGGGTTACAAGCGGAATGCATCTCTCCCTCTCCCCATCTCTCTCTCTCTTTCTTTTCGCACACACACACACACACATGCACACGCGCGCACGCACACGGGGGCCTGTGTGTGTGCGCGCTTTAATGTAATGCAATGACCTGCTAGAAAAATTAATATACGGATGTGCGTCCTGCTGAAAAAGCTGTGTGTTTGAAAATAAAAAAGATGTACTGTATATTATGTGTTTGTAAAGAAGAAAAAAAATGCAGAATCCCAAAATTAAATTGTTTTATATTCTTACGGTTAAAACAATTAAAGATATTTATATAATGAACGAAAAAGAGCGGTGTGGACTACTTTTGTATAGGTGTAGCATTTTATTGTTGTCACCATGTATGTTTTTTTGTTTTGAACAAATGTGTTAAAAATGTCAGTTTCCACAAGCTAATTTGACATTGTTTATTCCCACAAGAAAGTCAGCACTGCTATGGTCTTTTCCTACAATAATATTGTCCATTTAATTCAATATGGGCTTTTTCATTTGAATGAATTTGCTCCTAATAACCCACCCACACATTTCTGAGTATTGTCCCTGATCAGTCCAGTCCTGCTTCTCAAAAGGGCTGAAAAAAATCTGTTGTGTTGTTTTATTATTTACGAGGAGATTCAAAATGGATGCTTGCCGTCTTGATTTGGCTGTAGTGCCTGTGTAATTAATTATCACCAGGGCGTTTATTATAGGAAGCTGTTCTACCCTGCTGATTTTTTTAATCATCAACGTCTGTTTTTCATCCTCAAATGCAGTGAGGAAGGAAGGGAAAAGAAATGTTTTCAAGCTCAACTGGTAGGGCAGTTGAGTTTTCACATTTAAGTCTCAAGGTTTCAGTGCGCACAAGGGGGGTTTTAGGGGTTCTGTTTGGTGGATTTCATGGTTGAAATGGAAGGTTTTGGGTATTAGTTTTGGTTATTTTTGCAGTGTTTTATTTCACATGTGGCAGAGCCCCTGTCTGTGTGGCTGCATGTGCGGAGTAATGAGATCTAAAGTTGGTTAGAGCAGATTTCCCTCTTTCTGCTTTCCATCAGGACGTGTCCTGTGTGTGAAGTGACACCCCACACACACACACACACACACACACACACACACAGAGAGAGGGTTGCCAGACCAGTCAGTAGCCATTGTCTGTCTTTAGAAGTTAGGAAGGCAGGTTTTGGTGGGGGATTTTTTTTTCTCTTCTTTTCCTCTCTTTCTCCTCCTCTTGTTCAGTCACGCATACCAGATCCTAGACCAGGCAGGAGACCCCCCCCTTACACACACTCCTCCCTTGCTCCCCCCCCCCCACAACCACACACACACACACACACACACACACTTTTTAGCATTCCACACCATCATTCAAAGCATTTAAGCATTCCCTCTCTCCTGACTCTCTGTCCATGGGGATTTGGGGATAAAGGCCAGCAGAGGGATTGTTGACCACAGGGACAGAGAGAGAGACAGAAAGAAAGAGGACACACATAGAGAGAGAGAGAGAATGTCAGTGTTTGCTGTTTCTTAAGTTTGCTTTAGCTGGCCTTTGGTCTTGCGCAATAACACTGCAATGAGTGCACACTGAGATGTGAAAGATTTGTCTGTGACATTTTGTGCCGCTTTATCCCGGAAACATCTTAAAATCCGTCTGAAAAACCCACAGAAAGAATAATCTGTAGACTTAACAGTTGAGCTACGGACTCTCTGTTGCATGTATTTTGCATTTATACATTTTGTGCCTTGTGACAATTCCCAGCAATCGCAGTTAATCTGAATGTGAGTTGGTTTGGACGAATCCTGAATGCTGCAGCAAGGCAACAAAAGAAACAAGTAAAGTAAAAAAGAAAGAGGTGTGACATTGTAATAAATTGTAGCTTGAATGCTGATAAATGAACAGGGAGGCGTACAACATAACTGATTGTTCCTTTATCATTTGACATTTGGGTCTGCAGACCTTTCCCAACAGATACAGGAGACTTACCGTGACAAGGTCAGATCATGCATTTCTACTGAAAGGTCTGCAGGCTGAAATGAAGACTGACAAAGATACAATCAGCTGCATTCAAATGATAATGTGATACTTTATTAATCCCCATAGGGAAAATCTCTTTTTGTCTGCCACCCTCCACAGGGAGGTCAGAGGTCAGGCTCAGCTCCAGAAACCCACTGCTGGGGCTGCTGGGGATTCGGTGTCTTGCTCAAGGACACATCAGCAGGGTGGAGGGATGTCATATTTTTACATTGGGTCACCTTGCCTCCCTGCCTTCCCTTGCTGTTCATTTGTGAGTCCTTGGAGGCGGTGCAGGCCACCTGTGAAGCACCAATTTTAAAAGACTGAAGTTCTTTTTCCGATGAAACAAGTCCCCCGAACAATCTGTGAGGGGAATGCAAACTCGCCCTTTATTGTATAAGTTGCAGTCTCAATTTGCATTTTGAATGGAGAGAGCAGAGTGTGAATTAAGCTCTGGAGTTTCACTGCTGGGTGTTCAGCATTATGTAGTTACAGAACATGATATATCACTCTATTGTATAGGGAGCACCCTCACTTTGCATTGTATGAAATGAACTGCGGACTAAGGACTGAACATAGGTGCTACTATTACACAAAAAGATCATTTGCAAGAGAAATATCACCGCAGATCACCAGAAACCCTATTCTGTGTTCGAAAAAGGCTACGCTCCCCTAGTATGTGGTGGCAGAACGTTTTGTACTTCCATCCTCTTTAGCATAGTTCTGCTTCC